AAAATAAGGGATTGTAGCAGTGAGTTTAACTTGATAGGTAACTTATTGTGAAGTTTACACATGACAAACAATTTATAAGTAGTTTTCTCTAAAATTCTTTGGGGAAACATTGAGTCAAACAATCGTTTGGTTAAGAATTCAGATGTTGAATTTCTCACCTTTGATTTCAGATTCTTCTCTCAGTAGCTTCTCATCCGTGATAAAGGTTACACATGAGGACAATCAAGTGGTGAAGTACACTCATTGCTTTCAGAATCATCCATAGCTTCTCATGATCTGCCCAAAGGCTCTGTTCTAGTGTACAAAACAGAGGCTGATCTTCTTTTGAAATTTTTTGTTGTGTTTCAGTAGCTAATGTACATTTGTGATATGGTCTCACATGCCTCTTTTTGATCCATCTTGAATGTCAGGCATTTCTTGCTTCAGAAAATCTTTGTTGTAAAACTGTGAGGGTCACTTAGTTTGCATGGAAAGTTAGTCCTGTAGTTGCTGCATTCCTTAGCATTCGCTTTCTTGGGGATTAGAATATATATTGGACATTTCCATTCTGTGGGCCGTTGTTTTTGTTTTCCAAAATTGTTGGCATATTCTTGCTAGGGTTGAGACTGAGTCAGTCTCTGTAGCTTGAAATATTACTATTGGTATCCTGTCACCCCAGGTACTTTAATCCTTCCCAAGTGCTTTCAGAGAAGCTTTTGCTTCATTTTCTAATATTGCAAGTTCTTTCTCATAGGATTCCCTTTTCAAAGGAGTTTGTCATCCTTTTATCATTCTGTATAGCATCTCTGTTTTCACATTTATTTTCTTCTGGTCACATAGTAAGTTCTCCTGTTTGTCTTTCAGAACTCCTAATCTAGGATAGAATTTTTCTTTGATTTCCTGAATTTTCTGGAAAAGGTCTCTTGTTTTATTTTTCTTTATTTGTTATTCCCTTCTGTTTCTTTGCACTGGCCATTTTTTGCCTCTATGTAAGAGTCATCAAAAAGTTGCATTAAGGATGCTGAGCCTGTTTCTGTCACCCTTTCTTCCATCATCCATTTAGGCTGTTTCTTTTGTTTTGCTGCAGGAATTGTCTTTTTGTATTTCCTCCCCAAATATGTCTCTGGTTTCAGTCCACAGTTCATCTGGCTCACCGTCAGTTGGGCTCAGGAATACAAATCTGATCTTTATGTGGATTTTAAATTCCACAGGAAGGTAACTGAAATTGTATTTGGCACTCTGCTTCATTTAGTGATCTTTTTCAGCTTTACTCTGATTTTTGATATTAATAGTTCATAATTGTTACTACAGTCTGCTCCTGTTCTTATTTTGGCAGGAAGAATACAGTTATTCCATTTTCTACCTCCAATTATTTAGTGTTTTTTTATTTCTGTATCAGCGATCTGACATTGTCCGTGTGTACACTTGCCTGATAGGTTGTCTGACGTATTAGCAATAAACAGATCATTGGCTTCACAAAATTCTGAGTTGTACTCATGCTTTTATATTCCAGTCCTCTGTGATGGTCAGCATGCCTTCTTTTGTTTTGTTAATGTATTAGGTGCTTCTATAAAAGTTTTGATTTCTTCTTCAGCACCTGTTGTTGTAGCATAGACTTGATGATGGTTATGTTGATAGGCCATCCAGGAATTCTGGTTGTTATTATTTGGTCAGGCTTTGCATTATAGCCCCTTACTGCCTATGTTGCAACTTGCCTATGGAGTCACTCCAGTTACTTCCAGAGTAAAACACTTTGTGCTTGTCTGATTGCAGCTGTCCCATTCCAGTCCACTAGTTTGTTTTCACCAAGGGCTTTGATGTTTAATCACTCCATTTCTTGCTTTAGGGTTTTCACTTTGTCTTGCTTCATAATGCTCACATTCAGCACTGAACTTTCCTTTCACTTCTGTGCATGTCAGCCAGTAGTCTGCCTTTTGGTTTTGCCCTAGTAGCATCATTAGCATCAGCGCTATGTGTACTTGTCCCTTGCTCTTCCCCAGTAGCTAGTGTCATAGATTCGTAGAATGGCTGGGTCAGAAGGGGCCAGGAAGATCATTGAATCCAATTCCCTGCTAGTGCATTACACCAGTTACACAATTCCAATCAGATCACTCTCTAATTACTTCTCGGATGTCTCTAATGTGGAAGAGTACAAACCTCTCTCAGCAGCTGGTTTCGCTGTCGCAGAAAATTCTTCCTTGTGTGTATTCTGCACCTGGTGTATTGTAGTTTAAGTTCATTGTTCTGTGTCCTACAATCTGGGATGAGTGAGGATAGGCCTTTCCTTCTTTGTGGCATCTGTCGAGGCACCTGTAGAGTGCTATCATGGCACTTTGTACATGATAGCACCTTCTTGTCTCAAGGCTGAACAGGCCCAGTTCTTTCAGCCTCCCATCGTAGGACTTATTTTCCAGGCCCTGTATCATCTTTGCTGCCATCCTCTGAACCCTCTCCAGATTATCAGCAACCTTTTAAAACCTGGGTGTCCAAAACTAAAGGCTGTATTCCAGGTGAGTTCTGACTATTGCAGAGTAGAGGGGAATGAGTAGTTCTTTATTTCTAGAAGTGATACCTCTATCTATGCATCCCAAAATAAAATTTTCCATTTTTGTGGCTGCATCACACTGCTGGCTCATATTTAGTTTGTTGTCTACAACCCCACAGTCCCTTTCACTCTCATTGCTGTTGAGCCAAATATTCCCCATCTTGTATCGAAGCAGATGATTTTGTTTTGCCTAGGTCAGGGGTCGGCAACCTTTAACACTCAAAGAGCCATTTGGACCCATTTCCCACAGAAAAGAAAACACTGAGAGCCGCAAAACCCTTTTGACATCTAAAATGAAGATAACACTGTATATATAGTTTTTTACCTTTATGCTATGTAGAAAAAAACTATAGTGTGTTGCATTTATGAAATCAATGAACTGCTACAGGGAAAACAAATTTTTATTTCTGCACGCAACAAAAACATTTTGAACTCTGAAAAAAAAGACGCTGGGTTGAAAGTTACTTTCAAATAAAATACTCAATGTCTATCTGAGTCCTCCTCGTATTTATGAAATAAAAAGCCAAACTTGTATTATCCACTAGGAGCAAACCAAACATGCCACCTGCTTCTGTGTGCCCTCATCTTTTTATCATGTGGTGAAATATTGAACAAACATCCCTCTCCCAATGTAATAATGTTGCTGGAATTTTTATAAGAATCTTATTAAAACAAAGAAGTAGATCTATATCTTCATTATGATTTAGCTGCAGCTCTTGTTCAGTCACTAAAAACTGTTATTTTTAATCTTACATTATAAACTAGTAGGACTCCTTTCATACATTTTGAATAGCAGAACAGCTTCCTAAAAAGTCAGTGCTAAATGGCTGCATGCATTAAACAGCAAACCCCATAAGTTTGTCAGCAGTAAAAGTAAATGAATCTACCCACGTACCATTAAAGGTCTGGTTTTCTTCAGAAACTTTTCTTCGGGTTTATCCATGGTTGGAGGGGGGGAAAGCTCAGTAAATCGGTGTTGAATTAAACAGCAAACCCCATAAGTTCATCAGCCGTAAAAGCAAATGAATCTACCCATGTACCATTAAACGTTCGGTTTTCTTCAGAAACTTTTCTTCGGATTTATCCATGGTTCGAGGGGGGTAAAGCTCAGTAAATCAGCACTGGTCACAGATATAGGTGTGTTTAGTGACTGTTTAGCAGATAAACAGTCAAGTGCTGTGAATTGTGACAGGTCCCAAGCACAGCTTTTAAAATTCAGATGAAGGAGATTACATTGGGACAAAGAGAATCTTTTCAGCAGCATTTCGTGTAACATGAGAGCCTGCAGGAAGCTTGTTGAGCAGAGGAATGTAGCGATTTACTTAACTAGCTGATTTACTTAACTAACTAGCGCTGCGTTCCTGAGTGGAGCTTTGAGCAGATCAGCGGCTGTGCCGGCGCATGTTTTGAGCGACGGAGCCGCAGCACAGGGGTTCAAGAGCCACATGCAGCTCCAGAGCCACGGGTTGCCGACCCCTGGCCTAGGTGGAGAACTTGGCATTTATCCCTATTGAATTTCATTCTCTTTTCTGCCCAGTGTTCAAGCTTGTCTAGGTCTCCCTGGATCTTCTTTTTGTCTTCCTGGGTATTAGCTATTCTACCCAGTTTAGTATTGTCTGCAAATTTAATTATCTTTCCCTAGATGCCCTCATCAAGATCATTAATAAAGATGTTGAAGAGGACTGGTCCCAGTACTGAGCCCTGTGGTACTCCACTAGTGACTTCTCTCCGGGTTGAGCAGCTACCACTGATGATCACTCTCTGTGACCTATTTTGAAGCCAGTTGTGGATCCAGTAGTTCTGCCATGCCTGTATTTTGCTAATTTATTCAGTAGGATGTCATGCAGCACTTTGTTGAAGGTTTTGCTAAAGTCTAAGTAAATAATGTCCACTACATTTCCTCTGTCCATTTGTGTAGTAACCCAGTTGGGTGCCTTCCAACCTAGAATATTCGGAAGTGGTTTACCATTGCCTTCGTCTGCATAGTACTAACCAGAGTTATCTTGAATTTCTGGGAAAGATCTTCCACCAGTGTTGCCTTCAGCTACCACTGGTGCCAAGATGCTGCTCTTTCCCATCCCCATTACCATTACAGCTACCCATTCCCTTCTGATGTGACCATTACACCTGAAAGGGGTTTGTGTATCTCCACATGTATGGTGTCTCCACTTTGACCATTCATGGGTGATTCTGCTAGGAGACGAGCCTAAGGAGAGGGCATGACCTCTGGTGGCCTTGCTGTTGACTTCTCTGACACTCTCAAAGCCCCTTACTACATTAAGGTGTGCATCCAAGATGGGAATTATTGAGGAATAATTAAAGAATTCTGTGTTCCTAATATATTTTCTGTGTTAATAATTTTTGTTTCATTTTTTAATTTCTTTACCCAGAGCTGCTTCCATATTTTCTTAATTTTTGTGTTCCCTTTTCTTGACAAGTTTAAATGCTATGGGGTGTTTTTTCTCCTTTGTTTTAGGGAGATCTTTATGCTGTTGAGCAATTACTAAAAGATGGAGCAGATCCCAATGTTAAAGACTATGCTGGATGGACACCACTGGTAAATATTACATTCTTTCTCAACTTTATTTTCTCTCTGCCTCCCCACTGCCCCCAATACTTTAAATAGAGAAAGGGACTTATGGAATGACTGAGAATGGGGAATGTAGGTGAGGTGAGATTTGCCAAGCCATTTCTGGTGCTGACTTGTCTTATGGTTTTTCTTGTTAGTGTTGGTAAGTGATTACTTTCCTTTTCTCTGATGAGACATTGGAGATAGTGGGTTGCATGCCAGCACTAGCTTTGGCTTGTTTCAGTTATCAGTAAGACCCCTTGCCTTACCTTGGGACTTCCTTGATGGTGCTAAGAAGAGAAACCCTAGGGTTGCCTTGGTAGCTGTATGAAGATAAGCGCTTGTGCCTGAGTATGTATGTCCACATACCTGGGTGGTCCCTAAACTGCCAGATATGGCATTGCAAGGCCCTAAAGTTTGTGACCCTTGTGCTGGAGCCAGGAAACCTTCACACACACACATGCATGCACACTCATTGCCCCCAAAAGGTAAAAATTGCCAAATGATGTTTACTGTTGAATCCAAATGAGGCCAGTGTCTGTGCCTGCTGATGCACTTCATATTGCATTTTCCATTTCAAAGGAAATGGAGTTTGGAAGTAGCCTGCATTTGTCACTGCTAGCTGTGAAAATCCATTTATGATGGATGCTGTATTAAAATGACTTCCCTTTTTACTGCCAGACTGAGCTTCTTCACATATTTTCCCCATCACTCAGAGCAAAGATTTCTAGAACTGATGGATTTTAATTGTTGTAAGCTGCTTTGGGAGTCAGTCTTGGCTGAAAGGTGGGGTGTAAGTGTAATAATAAATTGCTGCTTTCTCTGAGTTTACTTTTTTATGCATTGTCATGGCGCTCAAGACCCACTCTTTAATTGAGAGATTCCTTATGCTTTCCTGTGCACTTTGCTTTTATCCTGTTCAACATTTAGCATGAAGCTTGTAATCATGGACATAAGGAAGTAGTGGAGCTATTGCTACAACATGGGGCCCTACTGAATGCAACTGGCTATCAAAATGATTTGCCACTTCATGATGCTGTTAAGAATGGGCATACAGGCATTGTTGAGCTGCTGCTTTTGCGTGGAGCTTCTCGAGATGCAGTGTGAGTAGATGTGAAAGCTATTGTCTCTCTCTTTTCAAATGAATGAATGGAAGGATGTGGTTACATCCTCAAAAAACTCTTGAGCTGGCTTAGCTCAGTCCTACTGTGCATTGAAGCAATAGAGCTGTTGTCTGGACCCTACCACTTTGAACTGCAGGTGGCATGTTTTCAGCTATTAAACATAACAAACTGGTGTAAACAATGAGATGGCTAGACTAGAATAATCCTTTGATATCTCACTATATATATATAGTGGGAGTTTATTTTATGGTAGAATATTCATCCTGTGAACACTCAGCTTTAGCGTGAATGATTAAACCCCAGTTCAAGGTGTACTGCTACAGTGAACTAGGCCTGAGAGAAAGTTGACCTGGTACAGGCTTTCCAGTATGCTTTATATAACTAAGTTGGGGTTCAATTCTGTAGCTGCTATAGGCCTTCATGAGCCCCTACACCTTGAAAACCAGGCCTTTCAAGGAGTATTTTTGCATGGGAGGGTTAAGTTTATCCAGCTTTCTGATCCCTCAGAAATCTGTTTCCACTCTTCTACTGTGTTTATACAGGTAAGTGTTTTTCTAAAAGGTTTTGTTATTGCCATTGTATGTGCCTTTGGGTGTTGGTTCTGTCAGACATTAACTGAATTCTTCTGACATAGCAACCCATCATGGGTAACTAGCCATGGTGGTTGTCATGTTGTGTGAACCAAGACCACTTTCCACATGGTGGCTTGATTAAGGGCAACAAGCCACTCTGATAATTCAGGGGTTGGTATGGGGTTGTAGGACCCAGGAGGGATTGTTGTATCATCTCAACCTAGGAGATCCCTCTTGTTTCACCGAGGAAGAAGTGCGTGAACCACTCGGCAAGAGTGGCAGTGTTCTTGCCAAGCTCATACATGTTACCAACAGTGACAGCCACTCCACTGATAGCCAAGTGGCACTTTGGAGCAGCTTTCACTGGCCCACTTTGCCATCTCTGATTGTTACCTCTTTGGCAGCTGCTACTCCCCCCCCACCCCACCTTTCAGAGCCTTTTTGTGAAGTCTCCATGTGACACCCCCCTTCAAAGTGTCAGTTATTGCTTTGTCACCTTTAAAAATAGTTTTTAGATACCAGAAAAGTACAAAATATTTTCATTGTTTAATTTTTGCTTGTCTTTTGGAGGTGTGCAATTGTGCATTTTTTTTCTCCTGCAAAGGTAACTTTTTGAAAGGTGATGAGCCAGTGACAGCTGCTGATGTGTTCCACTTGACACGTTGGAGAGGCGGTTACTGGCAGGCATCACAAAAAGGCTCTGAAAGGAGAAGAAAAGAAGGGGAAATGTGCTGGTGTCACCTGAAAAGGAGTGCTGATTGGAGAGGGGAGTGGGATCAAGACAGGTTCAGCCACTGAATCCTCCAAATACCAGTGGGAGAACCAAAGAGGAAGGAGTGGAAGAGCCTGTGATCTAATCCCCTTCTCTCACAGCTTGCCAAACTCAGATGTTTTCTGAAACTTCTGAAATTAACATGTGCTTATTGGTTGGGAATATATACTAGTAGAGATGGGCATCCGTGTGGTTTAGGTTTTAAAATTACTTTGATATAGGTCTCTAAATTATTTTGAACATAAAGGATCAGTTGAGAAGTTGCATATTCTTTGAAAATAGGCTGTCGCTGAAGGAAATTCTATGCATTTAAGACCTTGAAAAGCAGCCTTCTATGCCACTTAATAAACCATGTTCAAAAGGGGGAAGATGCTTCTGATATGTAATACAGATCTGATGTTCAAAAGAAATGGTCAGTGGATAATTTTAGTAACTCCAATTTCTTGAATTTATCTGGAATAGCTATCTGGATTGAAGCCTGTATGTAAAGTTCATACTATATAATCTCACATTATATAAGCTTAACAAGTATAACTTATTTGACTTGGGTTATTTATTTCCCCCTCTTCTGAAAGTCTTTTCCATGAAAAAACAAAAATGTCTGTTTGGTTAGTTAAATGAACAGAAATTTGTCTCGTCTTTTTTGGAAGATGGTTCAGGAGGGTTTATTCAGACTGTATTTCTCTAGAATTCTGCAGAATTCAGTAGTTGTCATCCTACCTTTTCAACCTTTTCTCTGTTAGCAAAGAGGTGAAGCTACAAATGGAAAATACTCTATGGACCAGTGGACCTATTAATTGCCCTGTTGGCCTAGTTAATTTTTTAAAAGTTAATCTCCTGCACATAGCTAATTTATATTTTATAGTTGGGCTTTTTTCATGTGTTTGCTTCCTTGAATTTCCTGTCTGTCTTGCTTCACAGCCAGCCAAGTGACGTGAAAAATTAGCTCTGCATTTGCAATTTCAGTTGTTCATAAAGGCTTTCATCAAATGGACTCTCTTGCCAGCTTTTCCATGCACAATAAGTTTAACATTAGTAAAAGCTGTCTTGCTTGCTTATTTCTTAGCAAAGAATGATGGGCTCCATCCCGTCTAAGTTTGAATATGAACTTAGGCTATAGAGAACATTTGTTCAGGACCAGATAGCACTTTTAGCAATGTATCTTTTGGCAACATATCTACTTTTGCCAAAGAAATTGCCTTGTATACCTTCATAGCAGAGGAAGGTCTTTGGGGCAACTTTTACTCATCTATCCTTGTAATGATTGTTGGTATATCACCTGATTGTCTTCTGTGATTTCATATACCATTTGACTCAGGGTTATTATTTAAATTCCAAAGGAACCTAGCTTTTAATTTAAAAAGAAAATAAAGTTCCTAGCCCCTCTGGGAGGCTAGGGACTTTCATTTATATCATATATTGGAATGGGCTGCCAGAGAGTCACTGCTCCATCTTGTCAGTTTAGTTTACAAAGAGTTCCCATGTGGTTTGGGCCCATTTTAATCTGACCAGTGAAATTCCAGTGAAAATTGGGGAATAAACTGGAGATGCCATTAACATCTAAAGTTGATTTATCTTTCCTTTGTATTGCTAGATCATTTGAGCTGAATATCCTTCATATAAAATGCAGCCCATAGATTGCTGTGCTTTGGAGTGGCTGGGGGTTGAGTCCAACAGTGTTCTAGCAGATGTCCACGAACAGCAGGACTTTTTTTCCTTTCTATTCTACCCTGCAGCCTCTGCACTGCCCAAAAATCTGTTCTACCAGTAGAATAAGATTGGATACAACCCATACTTGACTTAACAAAATGGCAGGTCACTACTAGCGATTGTTTTTTTCATTTCAGGCATGGATAATGCATGCTTTCTATAACAGATGTGTTGATTTCCATGTTGTGACATGATTAAAAATTCAACCTTTTATTTCTAGCGAGCAATACCAATATGTATGCCAGATACCCTCCTGGCTCAAAAGACTATCTAATAAGGCCAATGCCAGATTTTCCATAGAAAAGCTTAGCATTATATTCTGTAGGGTAAATGAAAAAATGTCATCAAAATACTCTTAACTGTTAGAGAGGTGATAAAATAACATCTCATTGCTTTTCTGGGTGCACACTTTCAGCTATGTATTTTTTAAAAAAGTATACCTAGTATAGGCAACAGTAATATTTTATTTACTAACCTCACGTGTCGCCCTATTACTTAGATTTGCCAAGCCTGGATCACTTCTGTGACCTGGCTATTATATTTTTATCCTCTTTCCCCTAAACCTTTCTACAAAGAACTTGGGGTCTTTGAGAATATGTGATAGGCCTGAAGGCTTTCTTGATGTCCTAATTAAGTGTGGGTTGGACTTTCTTTAGGACCCTAACCATGGCACCCTGGCAATGGTTCTCTTTATTCTCTTTTATTATTTAAAAATGCTTGTGTTGCATACTGTATATGCATCTATGCATGCATAATAACTCTGATGCAAGTGCTTGAATAGTTTTAGTAACACTGCCTTTTGGTGGCTTACATGCTGTTCTGAGTGCATGTGAAAGCTTCTGCTCATGAGATTTAATAGGTGGTGTTTGCTTGGCAAGTATCTGGATGAAGCACATGCACCTGGAGCACATAGCTAGATTGTGCAGGACCAGCTGTGGAGGCAGCAGGATTCATGTGGGTTAAAGTATTTTATGGGCGTAAGGAGTATTGTTGTCTTCCATCAAACATTGTCCAGTTTATTCCATCTTAGCTACTCTTACCGGAAGGAGCATTTTAGGACTTGGGGGGGGGGGGCAAGGTCTTCCCAGCCCTTCTTCCAGAGAAGCAGCTCTAGAGATGCCAGTGATTTAATGTGAGCCTTTCTACATGGAAAGCATTTGCTCTGCCTTTGAGCAAAGGTCCATCCTTTTCTGTAAGGGAAGGAGAACTTTATGCTTCTGCCTCTTTCCCCATTCTCTTTTCTTAGATGAGGATGTTATAGCAGTGAGTTAAAACATGTTAAAAACAACACAGCTATCATGCCATCTGTTGTTGTGGCAAGCCAGCAGTTTTATACATAAACTAATATTTGTTTTCCCTTCTGAGTATGCTGCTTGAAGTCTCTTTTGGCTGTTGGCTTTAAATATAGCTCTAAGTTAAAATGAGGCCAAATTGCTCTGTTGATAGATGCTGAAATAGAGGTGACATGACAGTCTTTATTGGCCTGATACTTCCAGGAGTGAAGCAGGGCTTAAGCATTTCTCTTTTCACCAGATGCATAGATGATATGTCCAGTTTAGTAATGCTGCCGGAGGTGTCAGCATGTACTGTAACATGAAAAGGAAAAATGATAAAGCAGCAACAGCATTCACAGGTTGTTGAAAGTAGACAAGTGCAGGACCACTGTTGATGGTAGCCAAGCTAGAGCAAGTGGCAAATTGTCCCTGGAGTAACATTCTTAATTTGTTACGTTTTCCTTTACCTGATACATTTTCCTTTACCTGATACAGTAAAAAGAGTTTGTGTGTTACAAAACTCAAATTCCCACCCTATTAAAAGTCATGATCAGATGAGTGCGCAGACTGTAGATCATTGACAAGGACTGACTTGGTAATAAACTTGCCGTCTTGTGTTCTACCTCCTGCTTTTTATGCTGAATGCAGCAGCTTGCTGTTCTGTGTCCATCTGTCTTAAATTTTAGACAGCCTTAATTGAGTTTTCATTCAATTTTCCTGAAAACTGCATATTAAGAAAGTTGAAAATCTACAGTGCAATTGTATCCAGGTGGTTAGAGGTCTACTCACACCCTTTATTTACTTAAGATCCATCTGTCCTTTTTTATTAGTAATATATTTGGTCACAAACCCATGGATTATGCAGAAACAGAAAAGATGAAGTCACTGCTGATGTTACCAGTGAATAATGAATCTTCTATTATACAATGTGCAGAAGTAAGTACTCCTTAAAAAAACCCTTTACCTCTATATTAAGCTAAGTTTTGACATGCTCTTCAGCTGCTTAAATCCAACTTTGTTGATTGTTAATACTGTATGTATTTCAAAGGTGCCTCTTATTTCTAATATCTGTCAACTCTTTGCCAAAATCACCTAAGACAACTTACTACCATAAAGAGAATGCAAGTTCTGCAGAAATGCAAGAGTTTAAATAGCAATAAAACTCAATTTCAAATAATAGCCAGTCAAGAGTCTAAAAGGTTGTTAAAGTAGTAATTAATTAATTAATTAATTGCATCTGTATGCCGCCCCATAGCCAGATAGATACATATATATGAATGAGGCAAAAAGCCAAATAGTAAAGGCAGTAGAGCAATACAGTCATAACAACATAGCAATAGTATCCAGTATTGGCAAGAGGTCATTGAAATGACAATGTGTTCACTAACTGAAGTCATCAGAGAAGAGTCCTGGCGGGCTGCCCTTGGCAGTGAATTCCAAAGATGACTTTATTAGACTGCTTGTCCGTAACACCTAAGTTTACTCTTTTCAGCTCAAAAAAGTACCCTGAAGGCTGGCTACTCTGATCTACCACAGTTGGCTAGGCAAGTGTCAATGCACGTGTCCGCCATCCTTCACAAGTATGTATGGCATTGCCCAGGTGGGGCACCCTTCCTGACCCAGGGTTGCTGCTACATTGTTTCCTTGGCCAAGAAAAGGAACATTATCCAGCCACTGCTCATTTCATTGTCAGAGAGAAGCAGTTGTAATAGTAACATAGTGACTGGGCTCTCACCATATGTGGAGAGTAGCCATGGTGAGTTGTCACATCATTCAAACTCAGACTGCTTTCCACAGGGAGGCCGATTTTTGACCAATAAGCCTGACAACCTATGGCTTATCTTAGCGGTCGTTCCATGTTCAGCATGTCTTGCTGTGCATGAAGTGGAGGAGGAGGAGGTCTCCTGGGCTGAAGAGTGACAGATTTTCTGCAGATGGTATCTGACTCTGGGGCTGGTGTAAGGCAATCCCTCTGCTAGCAGTCACATCCCTATGAGGAAGCAGGAGAGTCACACACTTGTTGTAGAATAGCATGGTGTGCAGTGCCGCACCCAGAACACTCCTTTCATCAGGCTGTGAAGTTTTCCATTGCACTGTGAGGAGGGAGAAGCACCCAAAGCATCACAATGAGGCAGCAGCCGCAGCTCCTCCAAAGCCCGAGGGAGAAAGTTTTCATGTCTAGTGCCTTGCAGATATTCTGGCACCAGAGATCTATGAATGTGCCAAGTTCTTTCATGTTTTAGAAGTGCACCCAAACCCTCTGACAGTTTTCAGCTTTGTCCACCACATTTGTCTTGTAAACACAGTCATGTAATGCATGTGTTGAGAGACCTGGAAAGGGGGAGCATAGTGGGGATGAGGAATGTCTCCTGTGCACATCATGAGCTGTGGTCCCAGTCAGTGGTGGCCTAACTCTGCCTGTCCTCTTACCGGGAGCAAAAGCTCCACTGGTTCTTTGTTTATGTGTTCCCCACATGGGGGACCCCATGCACCGTCAGGGCCATTAGTGGGGAGGATAGAGTTAGGGTCTGTTTCTAGACGGAACAGGCAAACAACAACGAGAAGCCTTCACAAAAGAGAAGGTGTTAGTTTCGGAACAGATCTGCTGCACAAACAAAATGAAATTGTACACACTAAATCAATTTAATGAATTCTTTCACTCAATCAATTCTTTATTTGGTCATTGACCAGCAAATAAAATACAAAATTGCAATTAGTTAAGATAGTTCTAAAATTAAAGTTAATTAAGATAAGGGAAAATACAATTACTCTAAAAAAATCTAACAACATTTAGAATTAATTCTGCAGTGGAATGTATAAACTATTGAACAGTACTGTGGTCAAAAAATAAAATTAGATAAAAGCATCTTAAGATAAAATTAGATAAAAACAAAACAATAAAATTAGATAAAAGCATCTTCTAAAAGATTGGAATGACCAGGATATTTAGAAAATAGTGGGAATAACATTTCCTATTTATGAATTCTATAAAATGGTCAGAATACTGCCTACATCATTTCAGTTAAGAATTCGGGTTCTTTTCCAGCCTTTCAGAACATTTTTAAAAATTACTATTTATTTCTCATTGTGCTATACAAATAAGACCAAACAAAATTGCACCCTAAGAAGTAATGAGGGGGGAAAGGAAAAATAAAATAGTACATGAGCAAAGAAAAGGATCCACAGCACTGGTTTCATAGAATATATTCCTATATATTAGGGTATAACATACATACTATTGTTACCAAAATAGTTATGCATATACTTCCATAAAAGCTTTCCAAATATCAATAGATCAGTCAATTTGTAAACCTTTTGGCCACCTGTTCAAAAATCTAAAATGTCATTAAATCCTCCATGCATTGTGTTATTACAGGTGGCTGTTTATATTAGTGTTGCAATAGCACTCTTTTAGCAGTCAATACAGTGCAGAAAATCCATTTACATTGACCTTGCATTAGATTCTAAGAAATGGGTCAGTAATTCAAAAAAGCATGTGTAACCTAAAGAACCTTCTATCATAAGATTTATCTGAATTGCCTCTTCCCAAAGAGAAGCTGCCATTGGACACTGCCAAAACAAATAGGAATAGAAGCATTAGCTGCATTGCACCTCCAACAATTGACTGATTTAATGAAACTCTTATTAAAGAGTATACTTATATCAATGTTTGCTGAATTAAACATAACCTGATATGGATAATAATGAAATGCTCAATTGAATGGGCAATATTAGGTATTCCAGTTCATTATTCCATTCCATTCCAGACTTTTCGTATCACATTTATTCACCAATATTAAATCAAAAAAAATTTTGGCCTTATTCAGTGTTTCCAGTAACATAGCTGGCTGTGAGGTTGTAAAAGCAGCAGGACCAAACTAAGACACTGACAAATGTTTCATTACATTGTATTTCTGTGCAACTGTAACTGAAAATTTATATTTAGCCTACAAAACAAAAAAATCAGCAGGACTAAGAAAAATAATCCTGTCTATCCAGGAGTGCCAAACCAACATTTTCTTGCCAATTATTCATCTGCATTTCCCATAAAGTTAATTTTGCATGTAAAAATAATTCATACTGCAACTGATGTTAAAGTGTTTGCCACAGTTCTCTAGCTGTCACAGCTGGAGTTGGGGACATTCTCTACTTTGGACTGGCAAGAGCCCAATACAGTCTACCTAGGAAGAGCATGCAAAGATGACTTTTCCAAAACAGGTCTAGGAGAGAAATCTAACTTAAATGGAAATGACCAAAATTGAGTTGAAGTCAACAAATGTACAAATAGGAAAGTTCAGGGAGGCCAAATTTAGTATTGCTTCCATGGCCAGTTGAAATTGCTTTGGGTTCCAGTGGTTGTTCACCCCTGCTTTTGCCTTCCATGTGTTTTTCTTTCCCTTAGAATCCACCGCTAATATTCACAGGAAGTTTGTACAGTATGAATATGGTTGCCATTTCCAGGGGGTCAGCTATGCAAAACTTGTTAAGTGACTGGAAGCTGCTTTGATGGCCATACGGACCTAGCTGTCCCTTTAGTACTCTTTTGTTCCCTTTAGGTGGAAATAATGAATATTGATGTAAACTGTTTGCATCCAGCAATGCTACTCTGAGTTGTGCTCACGTCGCAATAGTTATTTCTTATTTAATAGAAATGTCAAGAAAGGATTAGTTGTTTCTCTAAAAGAAAGAAAAAGAAAAATGCTGCTGTTATGTAAGACTTAACCCTTTCTCCTCTTTGTTCCTACGAAGCAACTAAACCTAAATCACTCTAGAGAAGAGCCTATTGTTTTCCTTGGAAGTGGTCTTGATCCAGTTCAGCAACAATTGTTGAGTAAGTTGGCTGTGGTTTTGAAGGCCAGAATATCTACAGAATTTATTAACACAGGTAGGTGTTGCTATTCTCTCCAGCATTTTCTTTAAGATGGAGATTGTATAAGGACCTTTCAGAGTTTTAATTATTAACCATAGCCCTAAATAATTAGGATCCTTCTCACCTTTGAGAATCTCTCTTCTCTTGTTTTTCATTCTGATATCTGCGGAGAGCTGAGGGTGCCTTCCCTGTGCCAGTGGGTGCATGCAGAGTGCCATCTCCCAAGCTGCAGAGCTTCCATCTTTGGCAAACATGAATAGCATCCAGAGTACAGTGGGAAGGATGCCATTCATTCCATTTGTGTCTATGGGTGCTTCAATCTTGGTGGAAGGGAGTAGCGCCTCCCCCCACCGTCACCTCTGTGGAAAAAGTTTCCAGATTGTGCTATCTCACAGTTCAAAATATGTCTTAGACCAGGGGTTTTCAACCTTTTGGCTTCTCTGGGCCACACTGGAAGAAGAATTGCCTTGGGCTGCACATTAAATATGCAAACACTAACGAAAACTGGTGAGCAAAAAAAATGGCTTTGCATAATATTTGTGATGTCTGCCACTGCAGATAAGCAAAAAAGTCCTCACATAATAATCCTAATCATGCAGCACCCCATTTGGAGAGTCTTTTAAAATCATCAAGTAGGTCCCAAGTTTGCAATCACTAATATAGAAAATGAACATATCTAAGTAATAAAACTTTATTATTTTGTTAAATGAAAGTAAAAGAAAAGAGGGCAACATAAAACTAGTGGGATATTTGACATTGTATTTGAGAAACTAATGCATCAATATCTGTTTCAATGGAAATAGTTGTAATTCTCAGTGAGTTCTCAAGGTGCTAATCAGATATTTTGGTTCTAATTTTACTCTTAGCATGCTTCATTCTTGAAAATAGTTGCTCACAAATGGAAGGCAGACATCGCTGTAAAACTGAAGCCATGCATGCATACAAATAAGCATACATATGTTTATTTTATGTGACATTGCAACACAATGTTGTTGTTAACTAAGTTCAGCCTCAAGAACCACACAATCAAGTTACCAAGCAAATCTTGTAATGTTTTAAGTAAGTTTACAGTTCTGTGTTGGGCTGCATTCATAGCCATCTTGGGCCGCATGCAGCCTGCAGGCCCCTAGTTGGATGCCTCTGTCTTAGACAATAATCTATGCAACAATTGCATTTTGGGGGATTTGCTTTGCTGGTAAGTATGCCTCTTTGTACTCAAATTTTCCAAGTGTAAATAATTAGACCTTTTGTAGAAATGAAACAAAATAAGATGAGAATCCTATGGGAAGGGTGCCTTCAGGAGGATGAACATTATTAATTTTGTCCTTTAACGAGTACTCTTTTTCTATGCAGTAACAAGTAAAAAATTGGTAACTTAATTCTGGATCTCCAAAGAGAAAATGTTGAGAAACTAAAAATAGTGGCAGAGTTTAAAATGGTGGTGTGCAGTATCTGCTCAGTATGACTGTTTTTCAGCATTGCCCGTTCAGCTGCAGTCTGCTCCCCTCTGTTCAGGTGTCCTCTGAAGCAGTACCCCAAGTTCAGGCTGTCCCCAGATAAATTCTTCATGACGTATGGCTGCTCCTTCTGTGCACAGGTGACATTTCTGCCTGTGTGGGAGAATGCCCCTCCCTGTAGAAACTTACTACCTTAATGATGTGAAGGAGCACTCTTCCTGAATCTCATGCCATGCAGCATGTCAAAACAGTAAGTGTGATATCACTAGTTTTCAGGCAAGCTATTTTCCATTTTAGTGACTCACGTTGTTATCCCTGAGTATCCTGTGCGAAGTACTATGAAGTGCATGCTGGCAGTTTTGACTGGATGCTGGATCCTGACATTTGAGTGTAAGTAACCAGATGGTTTATAACCCAAACAAGCCCATGTGTCTTTATTCTTTTCAACTCATACTGGAAACACTAATACTTCAAATGCCTGAGGTTCTTTTGTTAGGTGAATGACAAGAATATAGTTCTAAATATTACTCCATCTGTTGGAGATGTTTAATGCTCTGTATTATTGGTAATGAGACACCACTGAGTTAATCAGAGCTTTGCTTGTAAGTAAAGAGATGCAGCTGTTTATTGCTTGGCTTATTAGTGAAAATATTGGGATGCTTTAAGGAAAAAGAAATCTGAAAAATGAAGCAAAAATCTTTTGATGGTAGTGGCTGGTGATAAACACATTATCTAGTAACAGTAACTAGCAATCAGCTCACTCTGTGTTTGGTTTTGTTAGTATAAGTTAGCAATACCATGAGAATAGATTGGGTATGGCATATGGAAATGTAAAACTAGTCTTTCCAACTAAAGTGTTGTTGTTGTTAGTCACGAAGTTGTGTCCGACCCATCGCGACCCCATGGACAATATTCCTCCAGGCCTTCCTGTCCTCCACCATCCCCCGGAGTCCACTTAAGCTCACACTGACTGCTTCAGTGACTCCATCTAGCCACCTCATCCTCAGCCGTCCCCTTCTTCTTTTGCCATCTATTGTTCCCAGCATTAGGCTCTTCTCCAGGGAGTCCTTCCTTCTCATTAGGTGGCCAAAGAATTTGAGTTTCCTCTTCAGTATCTGGCCTTCTAAAGAGCAGTCAGGGTTGATCCCCTCTAGGACTGACCAGTTTGATCACCTTGCAGTCCAAGGGACTCCCAGGAGTCTCCTCCAGCACTACAACTCAAACGCCTCAATCCTTTGGCGCTCAGCCTTCCTTATGGTCCAGCTTTCACTGCCAACTAAAGTAGACTATTCCATATAGCTTGCCAAGGCTGTTTGGAAATGTAACCCATTTGCCTCTGATGTATATATTTGGTTCTCTTCATTGATGTCCTTGCCGTGTCATGTTAAAGGGTAACCAGTACTTTATGTTTTGAAGACACAGAATTCCTCCATTAAATTACTCATCTGTTCAAAAATACTTGGAACTCAATTTAGCTGACTGCGTGAACTGTAAGATTCTGAACATGTCTGTGCAGTTTACAAATTGATCTTGGAGCCTGTTGTGTGTTTGCCTATTTAGATAATGTGCTACATGTATTTATTTATTTTTTCTGACACTGCATGAGTTACAGAATTCGTCTTTTATTTAAAGCTGCTTCTCATATTACATTTTAAGTATCCTCTCATTTTAATAACCTTGCTGAGTGTCTTTTTATCCAGTTGCAATTCCTTTCATTATGATATCCTAATAGTGTCACCTTTCAGTAATTAATCCTTTGTCGCCCATTGAAAAACTTGTCATATTGGGCTTTATGTGCTAGTTCTAGAGATGAGATAAAGTTGTCAGGTTAGGAAGATACCTGAAATAGGATTGAGAGGTAGAGATCTTTCACCAGTAATGCTTTTTGCAACATTACAGAGGCCTCTGATACCACCTAATTGCCACATGTGTTAGGCAGGATGCCCTGATTTCTTTGGAATGTGAGCTTAGGTTGATACTCTAGAAGCAATCCATGATATCTCATGTAACATCACCACTAAGAGTACGGGCTGTGGTTCAGGAAGTCTCTTTCTTAAATCTTGCCTCTTCCAAGAATTCAGTAGGTGCCCTTACACAAAACTCCTATCTTTGCCTCAGTTCTTCCTCTCCAATAGGAAGACTGTACTGACCTACTTTACAGAGTTCCTGTAAGAATTTGCAGCAAAGTGTGGGAAATTTTATATAAATGCTAAGTCTCATCAGTATAATTTCCTACCACTTAAAAATGCATCGACAGCTTGAAATTCATACATTTTGTTTAGAAGGGAACTGATATGAAACTTGGGTAAGAATACCATAAAACCTTAGAACATGGGGCTATATCCAGTGCTATCAGCAAAACACTGTGGAATGGATCCCCTTTGCTCCCTACCACCCTCCAAATTTGTTGTGGATTGTTGGGGCCCCTCTGGATCTGACTTTGGGGTTGCTTAGGGAGGACCAAGAGAAGTTCCATTGTGCAAATGGAAGTCTGCTCCCATGATAATGCCTGTAGACTTTTAAAACATATTTTAGCACTTTCTTCCCTTAATGAGTTATGAATGTACTTATTAGTACAGTCTTGGCTCTTAATAATCCCAACTTAGTAAGCAACATACTTTTAAAAAACACCAGTGAGTCTCCTCCCTGGTGAGAAGCGTAAGGAATAACTCATGGGGTCTGATGCAGCTAAGTGCCTGTAATTAACACCATGGCTCCATCTGTTTCCACCAGTCTTTGTTATTAGTCTTCGTCAGAGCCATTACACGGTAAAGATTGTTATAACAAATAATTGGACTCCTGCTGATGAAACATTTGTCTAGGAAAAGTGATTCCTCCCCTTCCCCCTGGCTTATTTATCATACCTTCTGTTTGGCAATTGCCAAAGTCCACTTAGACACAACAGGAATAAATCCCATCAGGGGACACACATAACATTTTATGGTTCACTCTTAAGATTTGCTGTGCCAGCAAATAAGTACTTTGGGGGAGACAGAACGGGCCCTGCAAAGAGACATTTGCCTAAGTCTGTTTAAAAATGCCAGGATTACATCTGAATCCCCTTTTGCTCTGAATTGCCCATTGGACACTGCAGCAGTGCAACAATTCAGCCCTGGTATTGTGCCAAAGTCACATGGAGATGGCCTGGTGAAACCATTCAGATTTACTTTGTTCCTGCTTCAAGACCTGAGTGCACTGTTTTAAACAGAGAAGGGATGGGAGGGAGGCATGTGAGAGGAGGATGTGATTTCTTAGCTAACCCAGGCATAGGTTTGTTACGTCCAAACCTGTACATCATATTGAAACCATTGAAGTGTAAGAATTCTAACAGTCATTAAAAAAAATAAGGGGAGCCTGCCATCTCCACTCAAGCAAATACTGTGGAGACTTCTAGTCAGAGTCTGGGCAAGCTGGTTCATTGATCTGACTGAGCATGAAGCAGTTTCAAGTGTTATGTTAAAAACAGACATGACTGCGTTGGCACTCAAACAAGAATCTACAGGGCTGCAGACCTCCATTCTTAGAGGGCATCTGTTGGAGGCAAAAGGGCAGGTTCAGTGCTGCAGTGATGTGCATTCCCTCTTCAGCTTTGAGATGAAGTCAGTTTGACAACTGCTGCCTCCATGTATAATCATTTTGTTACTTCTGTGGGTGCATATGAACAGAATGAGAAACTGTTTGTGGTTACTTGGCAATGGACTTGCCAGATTTCCAAGAGCTTTCATGCTGACTACCTCCAGTTGCCTCTTATCAGGAAAAGCATTTGATCGCTCCCTAGCCAGTTCCTGTACCACAGTGTAGCTCAATTCAGATATGTCAAACTGTGATTTAAACCATCTACAATTTAGAAATCAAACAATGTTTCTGCTTTCAAATATGCAATAGACAAGCCATGGCTTGGAACTACCAACCTGCTTTTATTGTATACTTGCTTAGTGCTCTAATCTCTAGGTGGCTCCACTTTCAGAGCCAGAGCCATGGCTTTGATTTGTTAATTCAGATGCCATACCAAAATAGTTTTTGCAGACTATTTATGGGTTCAGATTCTCCTTTGCTGACTGGTGGCTGGCCATGGTTAGCATAGGCATGCTTTTGACGAGCTATCTGTATTTAACTGACTAAGAATCTACTTGTTAAGTTAAATACAGTTAAATTTAATTTAGTTAAATTAAATTAGTTAAGTTTAAACTAATTTAAGTTAACTATATTTAACTTAACAAGTAGATTCTTAGTCAACAGAAGTTTGCAACTAGCTGCATGTAAAATTTAGATATTAAAATGCAGTCTTTCTTTAAGAACAAAAAGCCTTGCTTGCATTATGGACACTAAAAAAACCTGCTGATATCCTTAATCTATGGTCCTGACAACTTCTGAACCAAAACTCAGCAAGATGTGAAACTTAATCTCAGCCTCCATGCAGTGGAATTATTTTTGTTGTTTCCTACCCTCATTGCAGCCATAGAAATAACAAAGGCAATGGAATAATGGAAAGCAATGGAAGATATGGCTCCAGGCAACAGAGGCAGACAAGGCTTCCTCAGATGGATTTATGCACTTTTAGAACTTGCTATATCCCTGGTACAGCATTAAGCTTATGTAGAAATGAATAAGAATTAAAAAGTTAAGTCTTTTGTATGACTTCTTCCTCTTCAATGCCATTTCCTCATTAATCCTGAAATTACTGATGAATTAAACTGTCACTGTTTGATGTGTTTCTAAGTTGGGAGTTCTCTCACATGTCGTCGAGAAAATGGCTTGAGTGCAAAAAAGCTTGAGTGATGTTCTGTGCATTCCTGCCTCCTTCCAATGTATTTACTTGTGTCTACCCGAAGCACCTTGTGAAGCCCTGGGGCCTCTGGGCTGCCATGCCAGCTGCTCAAGAGTTCTTGCAGCTCCACTTTTGTGCAAGCAGCCCTTCCTCAAATGGTGACTCTAGCCATTCCTGGCACAAACTTCTTCCTCCTTGCTTTCAAGGCCCTCTGTGGCATCATCCCCCCCCCCCCATAGCTCTCCATTTTCTTTTCCCACATCTTCATGCTTAATGACCTTCTATTCTCCAGCTCCACCAATCACAGCTGTCCAAAAGCCTCTCTTCCTCAGATATCTCTGCTCTCTCTCCTCCGTTCCTTATATTTTCCTCTTTAAATAAGAGATGTCCTACGAAGACTTGAGCTCAATCCTGTAGGAAGGACTTGAGCTCAGTGGAAGAGCACTCAGCTTGCATGCAGAAGGATCCCAGCATCTCCGGGCAGAGCTGGAGAAGAATCTTGCCAGACACCCTGGAGAGGCATTGCTGCTATTGACTGGACTAGAACTGGACTAGACTGAGGCACATTCTGGCTCCCCTACCCATTGTCATCTGCTGAAACAAGCCTCCCCTGTACATGTAACTGCAGTGAACGCACATTCTCCCTGTTTGTCCTTGCCTCATCTCCCTTTCTCTGTTGCTTTCCCATGTTCCATTTTAGATCAGTGCTTGTTACTCTTCAAAAGTCTATGCACATGGATTGCACAATGCACATTCTAAGCATCTTAATTCTTTTGTTCACCTGTCAGCATAGTTTTTGTGACATGGACCAGTGTGAGAGCCAGTGTGGTACAGTGGTTAAGACTGGTTCTCGGGCGATCTCACAGACTCTCAGCCCAACCTGCTTCACAGGGTTGTTGTTGTGGGGATAAGATTGAGAGCAGGAGGAGGAGAATGATGCAAGCTGCTGAATTCTTTAAAAAAGAAAAGGGCAGGATACAAATCTAATAACTAATAAAATAAATAAATGGACATTTTCCATTTAGAAATCTTTGTATTCAGGAGCTTTGTAAGCATGTTAAGCTGACACTGAGTTCCAATACAGAATTTGGATAGAGTATGCTGATGGCTTCCTAGTCAGTTTAATGAACTGTTTCAGTGGTTCAAGAAAAGAAATCTTTGGCTTGCCCTCTGCATCATTGATTTCTAATCTTTCAACCCCCTTTCCCACCAGCATTAGTTAGGAGCTTTCCTTTGCCAAGATATTTCAAATTCTATAAAAAAAATAGTAAGTTCAAGTATGCAGAATGAAACTTTTAACTTTAAACTGTGTACATCTGTGCAGTATTTCCTTTAGAGATTTTGGATTTCTTTAATGCAGCATTTTGGTATAATTGATGTAAAAAGTACTGGCTGCAGTCTAAGTTACTGGTGTATTTTCTTCTGATGTGTTACCTAGGGCAAATGGTTCACCTCTAGGGCAGAACAGTACTGAAGGAGGAGGACTCAGCCGCACTCCTATTCTGCCCAAGCATCTTTCTAAGGAGACCGGGCTAAATTTGATACTACCTTACCTAGGAAAAGGGTTTAGGTTTCAGGAAGATAATACCATACTGGACATGTTAGGGTGATTATGCTGATATGGGAAAGGCCAGTCTACTACTATGGCACAGTTTTTGTCTCTGCCAGAAATGCTCAGTGTATGTTTCTTAAGACTTCGCTTTGTATCATGGCTTGGGATATCCATCATTTGGTCTTGTGATCCAGTAAGACCTTGTTCAGACCTGCTTGTCTGTGCTCATTTTCCATCTGCTCAGTTCTTCAATTTGCATACAGCTTCTGGAGGAGCAGTAGCTAGCACATGCCTTTGCACCCTCTTTACACTCACATGGCTTCTTTGGCCAGTCCACAGCATTCTCTCTCCCTCTCCAGAGCCTTTTTCTCTCCACACTCCTACCTTGCTATAACCCCACCTGTTCAACCATGTTTGGCCATCCACAGGACTCGTGGCTCTGAATGACCTTGACTTGTCAGTTTGGGCATCAGGCCAAACCATAGTGCATGCTTAAACCATGTTTTGGACTGCTGTGTGAACCTCTGGAGAACTAAAGAGTAAAACTGCCAAAGCATTGTGCATGACACATTGCTTAATCTTGGCATCCTTTAGCAGAGGGTTAAATTTGAACATCTTAGCAATGTGTGCTATCTGTAGCAGCTGTCTTCTGTTACAGGGCACTCTTTTTTTCTTCTATTAGCTGTGGCTTTGACAGCAACATAGTATCTAGGTTACTGAAAAAAATCTCAGCTGCAGCTTCTATCCTGAAGCTTCTGGCAACATTCTTTTTCTTATAGGTGGGAGAAAGAACAAAGACCGACAGGTGTAACTACTCCCCCGTGCCCATATTATTGCAAAGTTCCCAGTAGTGCTGCATTCCTCAATAGGGCTATGCAGAGACTTCTCACTGCATGCTTATTTAAATAAAATGTTTAAGATTGTCTGGTCTGAACATGCAGCAGAATAAGATGGTAGAATCAAGAGGTAGTACAGTGAATGGGACTTCTACCAACTCCTGGTGCAGGAACAGGGTACCATTTCTGAATGCTGAAGTTAGAAAATGTTTTTAAAGGAAATTACCCAGACAACATTTCAGGCATCTCTGCGGACCATTCAGCATTAGTGATGTTCCATTGGAATACATAGCAATAGAAGGAAGGGGGAAGACTCAGTGAATGCAGGATGACACAGACAGTAAGCCTGACCTGTGACCTGGCACATTCTCCATGGAAGGTTTCCACCTCCTCAAAAGTGAGAAAACCACTTATCTACTCTAACCTTTGAATCCCATTTTAATATTCTTACAACATATTACTGAAAAGCTTATTTTATGAGGAATGCTTCTGCAGACTTAAGGTGTAACCGCCCTCTTCTCAAGATACTTCATGTAGATGTTTAAGGGCTCTGAATGCCTGATACATATACCTGGATGCTGTAGAAATTTGCAATGGAATCAAATGAATTCAGATTTCTATGAATCCAGCCTGCAGATTCCACAGCTAACCATCTTTTTCCAAGTCACACAGATTCAAAAAAGTGTTTTGTTTTTCCTTTTTGGAGAAAATTTGCACTAATGCATATTGCAGCCAGTGCATGGAGCAAACAAATTTGACAATCCATGAAACAGACAGAACTCATTTAATAAAAACTCAGTAGCCTTAACCTTAAGCTGGTATTTTAATTATTTTTTATCCATTTTTACTTTGCTCCTCTACCAGCAGGCCTTCAATGCAGCTTATCATAACAAAGCACAATTAAATCTGAAAGTAATTGCAATACCAGAAATAAATAGATAAATAAGAATTGCAGTAAAAACCAAGCAGCACATCAATCTAATTAAACCTGACTGATATACAAAGGCTCTCACCTGGTTCTGGGAAGCTAACAAAAAGCCAGTTCAGCCGACTTTATAGGATAAGTTAACTGCAGTGCAATACATGGAACAAAAGCCATTCACTTCAAGTAGGAAAGGCTTCCAGAGCAGGAATCCAATTCCTTAAAGTCTGGGAATATTCATACAGGAGTACACTCCTATGTATGACTAGAAAGAAGAAAGAGCTACAATTCCCAGCATTCCACCACCAACATGGAAAAGTTGGATTTTTTTTCTGTGTAATGACCTTAATGCAAAACATTGGTACCCATCTCTTTTCAAGGCTATGCATATCAGTCCTATATTTTTAAAAAATGACATGCTTCATTTAGCTTTTTGATAACCAAATGAGATAAGCAGGACTGAGAAATGCCAACTTACCAAAGAGGCCACCTGCTTGTGACACACTAGTGCATACGAGTCAGTGTCCACTCTCAACAGATACTTAATGCATATTGGTCCTACGTGGCATGACTTTCCATGTTAGGGCATCAGTATTGCTAACAAAACATTCATTACCATTTAGCATGTGTCATCAGGCAGAGGACTGGGATTTGGTAAAGTTCTAGATCTTGATGCCAAGGATCATAGCCTTCAGTTCTGAGACGTCTAAGTATGGGATGGTACAGAAAAGTTTTAAATACATAAATATTTTCTCCCTAGAGTTTCAAAGTCTGGTGCCATTTCAGTGAAGCTTCTTATGGCAGTGTCGTTAGTTCCCACGTGGAAGAGAAGGAAGCGGTGTTTGCCAGTAGGCTGTATGAGTTGTGTGAACTCGCTGGTTATATCTTTATCCTTGGTGCCAGGAAGACAACACACTTGGTCATTCTCTGGGTCATCACAACAAACATATTTTTCCATCCTGTGCAAGAGGGACTCTCCCACAACTAGCACTCTTCTTCTGTTGCAAACTTTGCTACCGTTTTCCTTGCTTGATTGGCCTTTTGTCTCTTTTTCAGAGTTACCCAGTGTGCCGTAAAGTTCTTTCACAGTGGGTTTCTCACACTTCCCTTTCTCAAGTAATTTAAAGTGGTTCAAGTGTTCCACTGCTTCCACAGATGTAGAGTGTTTTCTAGGTCTTCTGCGTCTGACTGCCACCCTGTTCCAGCAAGTTTCCTCATTTTCTGTTCCCTTGGGGTTCTCTTCTGCTGCCTCAGTTTGCTGCTGTTCTTCTTCCTTTTGGACTACATTTACATGCTGCAGCTTCTCCGCTCTGTCTAGAAACTCTTCATTTTCTTTAGCTGTCCGTAGGGTGGACATTTGTTGCTCCAGTGCTCTCACCTCGTCCTGTAACAGGGGTACTAGTGTGCAGCTGGTGCAGGCCACCACTGCGGGGTCTCCTTGGTGCATTGTTTGTGCCACTGTGTGCAGATAACAGAGAGCCTTCAGTGTTTGAAGGTAAAGAACAACCCAAGGTTTGCCAAATTTTCTCTTTGTTTTCCTTCTCATTGATGAAAGGTTACCTGTTTAATTGCAGGTTGGATCTGTGGTTGTCCTTCTCTGAATGAAAGGGCTCCTTCCATCCAAAGAATGTTTTTTTTTCTCTTTTTAAAAGAAGTCCATGCTTAGGTTTGCATCAAATACATTTAAGTAAATTAAGCTTCTTCAGTGGACTTCAATTATTAAGTTGTTGATTCCTCTGACTGATTGCTTCTTTTTGCCATATATTTTATACTGTAAGGAGTGTTTGTGTTTGTGTAGCATCTCATACCAACATTACTCCAAATTAACCTATTAAGCCTTATGGCAGTTCCTAACTGTTGTTCATAATATTTTGTTGAACCTTGCCAATTCTGGGTCCTCCACTCTCAAGCTGATCATATTTTGGTCAAAATGTTATCTTGTCTTTTGTCTTCAGGAATTGATACAGTTTAAATCAGTACATTTTCCCCTGCCCTTACATTTTTCCCCCCTAACTTCAGGGGTTAAGGCCTGCCTGCAGACAGGGGCTCGGGAGCAAGAAGAGAAGTATGAAATCGATTGCGGTTCACGACGTGGCCGGCTGAATAAAGAACAGCTGGTGAGGAGTTTCCTGATAATCTTTAAATTGCCTTTGGATCCATATTGTGACTTTTTACCATTTGCCACCTTTGCACAAGGAGGAACGTATAGGTGTGTGCTTTATTCCAGCATTTGTTTTTGAGAAGTGATAGACAACTTCTAACTTCTGAAAGCAATTTCAAGCTTTTAATGGATTTTTGTTGTCATATATGCTGCTAACTCTTTTCAGTACTTTCAAGGTAAGTCTTGGAAACATTTATTCAAGGTGTTGCCTGAAATGTAAGGACAGAAACTTTCTTCCTAATATCAGTCCTCATACTCCAGTGTTTTTGGTGTATATGGAGGGGGCAGGGTAGTCCCCCCCCCCCCCAATGTTCTAGTAACTTTTAGTTCTTACTGAGAAGAATTCATATCTGAAATTGGAAAAGAATGTTTACATTTTCTGTTTAATCTTCAGCTCGTTTTCTCTTAGTTGTAAGTTCCCCTGATAGTACTTTATAATGATGTTTATCTGGCGGTGGTATGGGTTATTTATTTATTATATTTCTGCCCCACCCATCAGCCCAAAAGCTCCCTGGGTGGTTTATGAGTACAGACTATGCAAAGATCTTGCTAGATTATGTGAAATGCATAGGTAGCCCTATGAGAGTCAGCCCTTCTTATTCTCTCCACAGCATTTCCTCTTCCAAAACATTTTTGGTTCACTTCCCCTGTCTTCCAGCCTTCCTGCCCCACAGGACTAGCCTTCCTGTTCCTAAAGGCCCTCCATCAGGCATTCTGCAGCCCCCTCTCAATACTTTCCTCCCTCCCTTCATTGCCTTTGTCCCTCAGAGTTCTCAGAGTCTATCACATCCTCTGCCTTGCCTTTTCAGCTAACCTGCATTAAATTCTTAGCACACCTGCTTAAGGGGCCTTCTTCCCCACTCAGCCTCTGTCAGCCCAGGCTTCTCTCTCCTTTGACTTTGCAACAAGACATAGTCCTTCTTGTCTGCAGGACATATCTTAGTTCAATTGATCCTTCACTTACTATGCAAATGTTGCACTATTTGTTGGTATACTGCTCCTGACCCTTTGCCACTGAGTAGCTTTGTGAGCATATTTTGGTATTGTGTTCTAAGGGAGCTGTACCATGGTTTCATCCTTTTAATCAGTCTTCTTTTTTATTCCAGTTGCCCAAATTATTTGATGGCTGCTACTTCTATTTTCTGGGAACATTCAAGGAGCCCAACAAAGAGAAACTCAAAGAATTGGTGAAAACAGGTGGGGGACAGATTCTCATGAGGAAGCCTAAGCCAGATAATGACGTGACCCAGACAGTCAATACTGTAGCCTATCATGCTGAGATCACTTCTGACCAGAGTTTCTGTACACAGTATATAGTCTATGATGCGTCTTCCAGCTACCACCCCGAGAAAGTTCGTCAAGGAAAGGTTTGGGAAGTGTCGTCCAAATGGCTTATAGACTGTGTGATGTCATTTCAACTTCTGCCTGTTGAGGAATGATGTTTCCAGCATCATGAGATTGCTTGCAAAAAGATTATGATGTTGTGCCCCAAATGGAAACAACAATTAAGCCACAGATTCTCTTCATTTATACTTTTGGAAATATTTGGGATGAAGGAAGCACAAGTGTATTCAAGTGTCCAAACTGGTTCTTGCTTAAATACTGAGAATTGAACTCATGCTGTCTTAATAGCCTGATATGCAGAACCTGTTTGTATGTTTCCAAGTCCTGCTTTTTCTTGATTGAGTGGATTTCTGTGCATGTGACTAGAGTATGACATATTTGAAGACGTTACCTTGTATAAGGAGTACAGGTGTGATTATTGGACATATTCTAAAATTAGGATTTTTTTACACTGAAACCCTGTGATTGCCTCTGAAAGCTCCCATCAGTATCACTCTGGCTACTAGAATCCCTTTTATTAAGCAAACAACAAGGACAGTATAACCTATTGATTAAAATAGTTCAAGTCTTTTTTCTGATTAGTATAACTTTCACCAGTGTAGAGGCTGTAGGTTTTGTACAATTTGGAAATGGGTCATTTTATGTTTGTAATCATGATTTCCATGTTCTTATGTTGTATTTTTAATGTTTTGTCTGTCATCAATGATAAATCATGGCTTGAAGCATTTCTGTGTGAGCCTATTGTTTGCATATTGTATAGTGGTACATGAGTGTCTGTTGGAGGGAGCAAGAAATGTAGGCAGTCCCCTTGCTATGTCAGTCCTAATCTTACACCAATTGCATTGAATCAAACCCCACACACAAGCATAGCAGTTCTGATTATTTGTCCGTTACTTCTTAGGAGTACAGTGGTACCTTGGTTCACAAACTTAATCTGTTCCAGGACTCTGGTTGCAACCCAAATTGGTTGTGAGCCAAGTCAAATTTCCACATAAGGTTCAATGTAAATAAGGTTAATCTGTTCTTTAAATAATTTTTTTAATCACAGGAAAGATGGGCACGATTGCAGGCACGTTCAGGGGGCAGATGGGCGTGATCACGGGCGTGCTTGGGGGGGGAGATGGGCGTGATTGCAGGCGTGCTTGTGTAGTGAAGACAGGCACAATCGCGCCCATCTCCCCCCCCCCCCCCCACGACCATGATTGCGCCCATGTTCCCTGCACAAGCACGAGTGCAGCCAGAGATGGGCACAGTCACACTTGTGTGGGAAAGACAGGCGCGATCACGGCCATCTCCCCCACGCCGCCATGATTGCAGCCATCTCCCCCCCGCCCCCCAGCACCACTGTGATTGTAGCCATGCAGGGAAGACAGGTATGATTGCGTTTGTCACCCGATGCAGAGTTTGCAACCTGAGGAAAAAAATTTCAGAAATTTCTGTTCGCGACCTGATTTCATCATGAGCTGAGGCGTTTGTGACCCGAGGTACCACTGCAGTAGGATTATTGTATCTCGGAGTACCACAGGTACTGCTTGATGACTTTTGGCCATCCATGCTTGTCTTCTGAAGTTGAAGAATCTGTAGTGTATCACTAGTGGAGGTAGAGAACCTGTGGTCCTCCAGATGTTGCTAGACTCCAAGTTCTCTCAGCCCCCAGCCAGCATGGCCGGTTGTCCCACAACACTGGGAGGGTCAGAGCTGCCCAGCTCTCAGCCCAGTGAAATCCATTTCTGGGCCATAAGCCATCTGGATTGAAGGTGGAGGCTTGTGTGAGAGAAAGCTTCACACCTGCACATGGGTTTCCTGTGCTTGGGGAAAAGTCGGGTCTGCAGCATTTCTCCCTGACATTCTAAGGGAGGCATTTCTGGGCAGGAAATTTGGAGTGGAAGTGAAACAATCCGGACAGAGCTTTACTGTCTCAGAGATTACAAGGCTGATGTCTCTGAAGTAAAATGATATAACAAATTAATGTAATGGACAAAAGTTATAGATCAGTGAAAAAGTCATTTTGCTGCCATATTTCACAGCTGATTTGGTTAGGTAAAGTGAGCAATTGCATTCAATCAGAAGCAAACTCATGCAGAATAAACCTTTGGAATAGTCTTTAATTCTATATCCAAATTATATCCCACAGGCTGATCATGCTCATAACATATTGTTAATTTCCACTCATGATAGAAACTGAAGTGGCTAAATGCTGAAGTTGAGATGTAAAAGGTTCTGTCTCTGAAAAGCTTAATGCTTAATTTTACCAGTGGTTTCAGTAGTGCCAAGTCAGCCTTAAAAATAGAGGCATTTTGCATACTGTACCTCTTTCAAAAAGACCCCCTCCCTGCAAATACTTTCTCTTGAAGGAGAAGAAGCACTTTCTGTATCTCAATCTCACTCTCAGCAGGAGATCAGATCTGATGTATCTGAGAAATGTCAGCTCCTGCTGGGGGCAGAGTGCAGTGAGCGGGCAGGGTTGTGCTACATGGTGGTGCTGAAATGGTGATGGGGAACAAGCTGCCACCTATTATTCAGGATAGCATTTTGTTAACTTTTTTACAGTTCCAAAAGAATGTATGCTTGTGGTTGTAAAAAGAATTTAAAAAGGCACCTGTACATTCTCTGCAGACTTAGAAAGTGCTCCTCTTGACTGACATCTCTGATACTGTGTTGTGAGCCTCCCAGAGAGCCTGTGGTTAATGGGGTGGCCGGTCCAAATCAAGACAGGGGCATTTACCCACTGAAGGGTCTCTACAGTTCACACACGAGACTTGTGCACATCTTGCCTGTGCAAGCCTGGATAATGTCACCTAGAGCTGTTCAGTGACAATTGCACTGGGCATTTGGTGGGAACTGCTAGGAAGTGTGCTGCCCAAAGAGCTTAGCTTTATTGAGATCCTGAGCATTTCAGTAGATATATAGCATGTTAAAATCATGCTGCCCATTCAGTGGCTTGAGTTGTTCCAGCAACTTCAGTCCTTCAGTTGTTTTATGGTGATTTATTGTCAGAATCATCTAGCACCCCACCCCACAAAAAACATCCCTGACTTGACAGTGTATTTACTAACAATGCAACAAGGATGTAGGCTGTCCTTCCAGCTTTTAAACTGCATTGTTGATAATAACTAGCCATATTTGTGCTACTCAGGAAAAAAAAGTGGATAAACTAAGACTGCAATGTTAAATGTAATTAACAATGTAATTGGAAGCAAATCTCATAGACATGAATGGAAGTGACTTCTGAATTAATGTGGGGACAAACATACCAAATACTTTGACAAAGGATATTAAGATAGCTGGTGAAGAACTGGATCCTATGAATCTAAGCCCTTTTTATTAGTTTATCATTGTGGTTATGTGCTATCAAGGTGTCTCTCCATATGGCAATTCCGTGAATGAAGACCCTCCAGAACGCCCTGTCCTTGACACCCCAGCTCAGCTCTTGTAAACTCAAGGCTGTGGCTTCCTTTATAGTGTCACTCCATTTCATACTTGGCCTTCCTTTTCTTCTGACTTCAGCCTTCCCTAGGATGATTTTCCTCTCCAGTGAGTTTTGCCTTAGCATGATGTGCCAAAAGTATGAAAGCCTAATTTTTGCTTCCAGAGAAAGTTCTGGCTAGGTTTGAGCTAGGACCCACTGGTTTGTCTTTCTCAAAGTCCATGGTATTGGCAAAGCTCTCCTCCAGCAGCATGTTCCAAACGCATCCATTTTCTTCCTGTCAGCTTTCTTCACTGTAGCTTTCACACCTGAATGTAGTGATTGGGAATACAATAGTGTGGGTGAGCTTCAATGTATTCTCCAGTGAAATGTCCTCATACTTGATAATCTTTTCCAGTTCCTTCACTGCTGCCCTTCCAAGTCTCAGCCTTCTTTGAATTTCCTGGCTGCAAACTCCACTAGACTTGGTGACTGAAGCAAAGTATGCAAAATATTCCACAACTTTAGTTTCTTCATCGCTGACCTTAAAGTTGTGTCATTCTTCCATGGTCATGATTTTTGTTTTCATACTTTTCAGCAGCAGCCCTGCTTTTCAATTTCTTCTTTCACTGTCATCAGCAGTTGTTTCAATTCATTGCTGATTTCTGCCAGTAACGTGGTATCATCTCCATATCTTAAACTATTGATGCATCTTTCCCCAGTTTTTATTCCTGCTTCCTTACATTTTAATCCAGCTTTCCTTACAATAAGTTCTGTATACAGATTGAACAGATATTGGGAGATAAAATATACCATTGTCTCAATCCTTTACCTATAAGAAACAGAGTATTCTGTCCTAACAGTAGCTTCTTGTCCACTATGCAGTCTAGTTACCAGAGCAGTCAAGTGCTGGGGCACACCCATTTCTTTCAGGACCATCCATATCTTCTTTTGAGCTATGGCTTTGCTTTGCTGTAGTCTATAAATTCTCTGGTGCATTCCAGTAGCCAACACATAATTGCAGTAGGATGTTCAGAGCCTCTTCCTTTTCAGAACATCAGGAAGTCCTTGTTCTGTGTAGCGTACTATTCTTTGTTGCAGCAACTCCAGCATTACTTTGCTTATATGGGAGATTAATGCAATGGTCCTATGGCTGCTGCAGTCTTGCTTCTCTTTTCTTGTATTCTGAACATTTCCAGTCTGTGGGCCATTGTTTTGGAACTTTGCTTCAGTTAATGATCTTTTTCAGGGTTACTGATTTTTGATATTAAAAATTTTGACTATGAGAATACAGGTTCTCTATGTTTTACTGCCAATTATCCAGTCTATTCAAGGGTTCTAACATGGGCCATGCAATATTTCCACAATAAGTTTCTGAGGAAGGTCCCAAACTTGACTCCCAGGTATATGATTGCTTAGTCATAATCATCACATCCCACTCTCTGTGCTAATTTCAACAGCATATTGAAAAATACTACAGTTCACAATAAACACCTTAATGAAAAAGGCAGCCTCTAATACAGGAAATGTTATATTCCTTAGAAACCAACCATATGATACACTTCAGCACTGGACTTTCTAGTGCATGTCAGCCACTAGACTTCCTTTGCCTTTGCTCTAATTGCATCATTAGCATCAGCACTATTAGTACTTGCCCTTTGTTCTTCCCCAGTAGCTGAGTGCCTTCCAACCTGGGAGTCTCCTCTCCTGGCACTCGTGGCATGACCACTTGTTTCATTTTGGATTGTTTCATTACTGAGTTTTCAAAGTAAGAAAATTCAGAAGTGGTTTGCCAGTACTAACCAGAGTTACCTTGAACGTCACTGCCGTTGCCTGTGAAAGGTCCTGCAGTAGTGTTGCCTTTGCTGCTGCTGCTGCCGCCGCCGCCGCCGCCACCACCACCACCCAATAGCTGCCCTTCAGGCTCCTCCACCCCCATCCCCATTAGAGAGATCCGGTCTCTTCTGCTGATAGGACCACTGCACCCAAAGAGGGTGGGTGCACCTTAGTCTGGTGTCTCTGCTTTGACCTTTCCCCAGGAGACCAACCACTGAGGGACTCTGGCCTCCTGGTAGCATGCTGTCAGGTTCTCTCACCAGGTTCAACTGTGCATTCAAGATGGGTTTTATGCATTTATTCAGTAATTAATGAACTATGCTAACTAGATCTAATTATCTAGCCTAAATAGTCTTTGCATAGCAGAACCTTTCAATGGGCTAAGGCTGCAGTCTGAAACAGTCTCCTATAGTGTATTCTTGGTCAAACAGACTGTGGCTTGGACTCAATGGCTCCATGTCTAATTCCTGGAACCATTCAAGT